CCTGTCATAAAATGGTGTCTGAAGTGTGACGTTAATGATTACAGTTCACATACTTCACCTATCAACGTGTAAGAGTTTTGATGGATCTCGAAGAACCAACATGTAGCACACAGCTTCTTTCTTCATAGGTACACCTCTGTTTATTGCCACGGCTTCCAGCATCTTCTCATGATGCAGCTCAGCGGCTTAAGACAGTTTAAAAAGGAACAGGTGTTTGAGGCCTTAAAGATTTTCAGAGATTCACACTAATGTAAAAAAAATATATAATAACAAAAGGGAGATGCAAGTACCCAAGCAAATAAACATCTTCCAATCAATGACATCTGAATGTGCCAGCAGGTCTCGGAGGTAGACATCGTTTTTTGAAAACACAGTCAAGTCTTTGAAAAGGTCTCCCTTCTAAAATTAAATAAATAAACGAATGGATTGTTGAATCACTCATAAATCACTGTGAAACATTCAACCAAGCATTTATATTTCGCAATATTCCTGATAGCCTACCTCACGGAACTCTGGTTTAACAAGTAAAACTCTGAACTCTGGCCACTGGTCAACAAGCACACTAACAGGATCAGCTCTCTGTACATTCCTGTTGAGTTGGACAATGAGTCCATATACCTGTACATTCAGGACAGAAAAAAGACCATGTATTAAATGTTGGGGAAAAAGCCTACAGAACATTAAAGCGCCACAAATAATGACTTACTGCTATCAGTGACAGTTAATTAGCGTGTAGATCAATCTATGAATTTTAACGGGAACAAACATGACCATTGCAAAGTGAGCTGCTTTATTAGCTCAATAAACGCTTTCAAACCTGCAGCGACTGTGGAAAGTAGTTTTTAAGATCTACTTCCAGGGTCTTCAGATCCTCTGTAGTCAGCTGGCGCATTGCGAGGTGTCCCGCTTTTAAAAGGCACTTAACAACAGACCCAGTGCGTAGAAAGGTAGGCAGTGGTTGTGGGTTAGGTTATGTAAAAGTTCAAGTTGAAGTCCTCATGCATTCATTCCTATAGTCTGAACGTCTGGAATGTAGCGCCCCCAAGAATCGCTTCCGGGACCTTTATTTATTTACTTTTTAAGCAATGTTTATTTAAAGTAGGTATATGATTAAAACATCTGTAAATGAGAGACACCAGAAAAGTTTTTTTTTGAACGTCAAAGTAAATATTCTGCAGATAAAAGTTATAATATGAAGAGTTCAGATGCAGAAGCCACAAGTGCCGTTCGAAAATTTCTTCTAAAATTATTCTAAACATATATTTATGTTCAGTTATTTCACTTGAATGGCAATGAAAAGAACCTAT